CCCGCCCTTTTCAGCGTGGGGTGCCATCTGCCAGGGCCCCCCCTTGTCGGTTCCCCCTCCTCTGTGGGGTTCCCCCTCCTCTGTGGGGTTGCCCTCTTTGGGTCTCCTGAGCGGTCTGCGCCGACTGTGCTTGAAAGCACTTCGTGAAAACGCGTCCCCCAAAGGCGTGGGGTCACCGTGCGGGTTTGTGACTTCTTCCCCCGCTCTCGGCCGCCCTGTGCAGATCTCAGGAAGCAGGCGAGGCAGCTGGAGAACGAGCTGGACCTGAAGCTGGTCTCCTTCAGCAAGCTCTGCACCAGCTACAGCAGCACCCGAGACGGAAGGCGCGACAGGTATAGGTACTAGCCCATTTCTTTATGTTTTAAATGCTGCTTGTGGTGCTTGGTTCATTTTTATGATTTGTTTAATGCTAGTCCCACCTGTGGCTTTAATTCTTAGCTTCTTAAGAAGCTTATTTCAGCACTTCTTGATGCTGTGATGCTGGTGTTGGTCTTGATGCAATATTGAGTGATATGGCATGTGAGTCAGGTGTGTGGGCTGCAGTGGTGCATCGTGAGAGCGTATATGTCACTAGGGGAAGCTGAATTTAAGCTTCAGTCTGTAACTGTGAGGTTAGTGTGCAAACTGACAATAAGGCTTTTTAATGCTTGCTACATTTCCAGTTTTTCTTGTATTAAACTAGCAGGAGGTTTTCAGGAGCTTCAGTATTATGGGAATTTAGCCTTATGCCTCCCAGGTGGGCTCATGTGGTATTTGTCATACCTGTTTTAATGATGAGGGAACCGAAGCACTAAGCAGCTGTGACTGGTCTAAGGTTGCACAGGGAACCTTGCTGTTTCTTTCTAGGTTTCTCCTAACATGAGTAGTAATAGTGAGAGCTATATATATGTTTTTATATATATGTCTTTATATATGAACCAGAAAAATACATACCTCTGTGTGTGTGTATATATTAGTAGTTTCTGTTTGCTTTAGGCAGATTCATGTTTGACTGAAGAATTAATGTGATAAAGCTTTCCAAGTCTTTCTAGCTTGTGGGCTAGAGTTGAGGTCTTCCCTGCAGTTCCACAGCACTAATTATCAACTTCCCTGTCCCTGTGCGCAACCTTTAAAAATTACCATTCTGTGCTTATTAACTGGGGCTTAACACTGTGTATCAGTTGCGAGTGTGACTACTGTATGTACGTGTGTTGATATTTATTTATTTGATGATCGAGTCAATTTTGAACCTTTCCATCAATTTCTAGAAGCCCAAGAGAGCCTCAAGAATGGTCATGGTACTCTTGAATCAGAGTCCTGGTCTCTCTGTTGTTTCTGGCTCTATGCTGTTACTTGCCATGTAATCTAATTGTTTTAGTTATTTTTGCTGTCCTACACAAAACTTACTTCTCTTACTCTAGTTATGGTAGATGGCCAAAGCAATGAGTAGTCTCTGAAAGGTATTAGTTGTCAGACTTCTGCAGGTTGGAGCACCCTGTGTTGTGCTTCCGTTCTGTTGCTTAGATGTGACTTTTCATTGTGATTTTAGTTTATTTTTAAAAGTATGTAGGGAAGGTGTACTGTATGAAACTGTAATTACGATAAACTGTGTGGTTTTGTATTGCTCTGTAGAACAGTTGACTACTCAATAGGTCAGTGGGTTGTCCTAACACTGTGTTGTTAAGGTGTAATTATGTAGCTGGTGTAACACGTTAATGGTGCAGTACTCCCTCCTGCTAATACATAAATAAATCAAGCTTAAAAGTTGGGGAGAGAAGGGCATTGGTGCTGGACATGTGCTGGTAGTAGACAAGTGTTTGGTGTCAGGCATATCTTCCAAGGAGAGGTTATACTTCCCCCAGGTGATACTGTGTCATTAGTTCAGATGAGAGTTAAAGGCATGTATAATAGGAAAATGCAATTTTGCTGAGCTTAATGAATCTTTCTAGGGATCCTAGCTAGTGGAGCTTGCCAACTCCTAACACTAGTGTTTCCTTATTTCTTGCGTTCATGAAAAGATGATGTACTTTTGAGTAACTGCTCCTCCTCTTTTCCCTTAGCTCTGACACAACTCCTCTCTTAAATGGATCAAGCCAAGACAGAATGTTTGAGACCATGGCTGTGGAGATTGAACAGCTTCTGGGAAAGGTAACTCAAGTTACTGTGGTTTTACTTAAGCATCTAGGAAATACTGCAGTACACCTTCTATAATGAATGTTAGGAAATACTAGCGTGGCTGTTAGACAAGTGTTTCTGAAGGTATGCGTCTGTCCTTAGAGCTAGTTCCTTCAACTTATGCATTGTAACTTTCTTACAAGAACAAACCATTTCATATTTTGGGTGTTTTTTTTTTTTGTCCTCGTCTAGCTTACTGGAATAAATGACAAAATGGCAGAATATACAAATAGTGCAGGAGTCCCGTCCCTGAATGCTGCACTGATGCATACGTTACAGCGTCATAGAGACATATTGCAGGTAACAAACGCATGTCCTTCTTTTATTTTGTTTCTTTGTTTGGAATAATTATTAGCAGTGCTGACATCACAGCATGCTTGAATGTCTTACCAGAAGATTTAAGTGCCACTGATCCCATCTCACTTTTCTTTTCTCCAGGCACCCCAATCACTGAACTCTAAGTTGAAAAAATAGCATTTTTTATGTCATACTGGTGACTAGTACCTAACTAAGAAAGAACAGTGAAGCATGCTGTCTTATGTAGGTGTCTTTTATGTGGCAAAAGGGGAGAGGTAGTGTAATGAATTATCTTGTCTGTGTGATCTGTCACAAGGCAGTATGAGAGGGAGCATCACACTTAAGAAAATACAATTGTAGAAGCATCTAAACTGCTAAAGGGAGTTGAAGGAAATGTGATGGCTAAAGCTACTAATTAGTGTGATAAATCAACCGTGTTTCAAACTGGTGATTGTGGCATAGTAATGTTAAAAATGCATGTTTTATTTGGCTGATCATGTACAGTTTGATTTCTGTTTTGCATCTGTGCAATACACAGTGTAAAAAGCATAGTGTTTTGTAAAAACCACAGCATTTATACAAAAAATAGTGCTGAATGTTTACAGTGGTTTTGGTGGACACCAGTTGCCAGTTAAATTGGTTTTTGAGAAGTGTTACCTGCCTGAAATGTTTTCAAATGTGAAATTGCAACTTGAACATTAACTTTTTTTTTTTATCTTCACTGTTCAGAAAAGACTTTTTTTCATCTGATGTAACTTATCAAAATAAACCCAAGAACATCTTCACCGCACCAAATAAGCAGGTTTTACTAGGGCTTCTGATTCAACCAGTAACGGGAAATTCCAACACAAAATTATAATTCATCAGAAAGGTGAAGATATATGAAATTGGGAGAAGGAATTACAGTGGATTTCCCTCTGTGACCTTAGCTGTAGCTATCAAAAGTTAGCAACTACTGTAAGAGCAGTGAATTTTAAAAATACTTTGCTTTGACTTCCAAGCATTTTTAATGTTAATTTCATAAGTTGGCCTTGCACTTTGTATTAGAGAACAGTTAACATTTTAAAAGATGGTTGGATCTTGCTTGAGTATATTATGTTGTTAAATTGATCTCCGGATCCTTATTTTGGAATAATTGTTTTATTACAGGATTATACGCATGAATTCCACAAAACCAAAGCGAACTTCTTGGCAATACGAGAAAGGGAGAATCTGTTGGGATCAGTACGAAAAGATATCGAGTAAGTTGCATTGTTTATTATAGCAATGGTATGGGACTGTCATCGGAGGGAGAAGGTGGAAACCCTCCTGTAGAATACTGGGCATAGCTTATTCATCTGTACTCTGAATAAAGCAAAAAAGTTATTTGAATTCACCGCTTTTATTAAGGTTATGACAAGATTCAGTTTTGTCTTGTTGTTGGGTTTTAGATCATACAAAAGTGGGTCTGGCGTGAATAACAGAAGAACAGAGCTATTCCTGAAGGAACACGAACACCTTCGAAAGTAGGTGTTATTTGTTATTTACTTATGTCTGAGGTGCCTAACTTTTCTGGGGTGTGAAACATTCTTAATTTCAAGTATGCATGAAAGCTTTGTCCATTTGTAGATACTTATGTCCACAATTAATGCCTTGCACTATGTATTCTGTGGCAGCGCTGCTACTTACGCAGCTGGATAAACATTTATTGCTTATGCTGACTGTAGAGTGCGTGTAGTAGGTAGTAGTCATGGTAGTTTTCAGTGATTTTTGACTTTAGGATCTTGTCAACACTAAGTGACACGTATATGTTGTCTTCAGTAGGCTTTCGCAAGTCACTTGTGACTCAGACGTCATGCTTGGCCTCCTCTCTTAAGGCAGTAGACGCCTTTATAGTATACTAACTGGGATAAGGGTTGGAAAACAAAACAGAGTCCCAGCGATTTAGCTGTTTTTCCCTTTCTTCTTCTTCATTTGTCAGAGTCAGAGAAAGAAGAACCTTTTTTTCCTTTTGTCTCTACTGAGGGTGTACAAAAGGTCATGGAAGAGACTAATTCCAAAATTACCGGTACACTTTAATATTTGCAAATTGACTCTAGTGTATTGGACAAGATAACAAGCAAAATAGAAAGCACTTTCTTTTTATTCTTGTTGCAGAGAGGGCATTAGGTTATGAGTAGCTGCTCTGTGTGTTCCCCATTCAGCAAAAGCAGCACAATCCGATAGAAGAGCACTGGAAAGTTCACGTTTTCTAGATCGTCAAGAGGTAGCACTGATCTTCATGCCTCTGTGTTCTTGACTACAGTCATGCTAAACTTCCATCTTACACAAGAGGGCAGGCTTTCATTAAAGATGAATAAATTAATTAAAAATTACCGGTGGCTTTCTCAAATATAATTTAAACTTCTAGCCAGAACTGCACAAAAAGCTTTTACAGGAAATTAAAACCAAATTTTTTTTGGTTGTGGCTTACCACCACTTCACCCTCAATTGTTTTTAATATTTTTAAAACTTTGAAGTTAATTGATTTTAACCTTGAATTACAACTTTTATTAGGTTGAATTTATTATTAAACATGCAGGATCAAGAAATGTAAAGTTTCCAGGGGAAAAAAAGTCTTAATATTTTGGAGGTGAATGTTACCTGAAATGTTGTACTTCGAAGACTCAATGTCAGTTAATCTGAGTAAACAGGATTCTTTCTAGATGTTGTATTTGGGTTTTTTTGTTTTGCCTTTGTTTGTTGAAGGGCTGATAAATACTTTTATACATTTGACATTTTGTTGAAGAAGGCTACAAATAAAATGTTTCTGGAGTTATAAAATATATTTCTCAGAAACTGACGCTCCTCTGAGTGCGCTATTTTGAAAAAGTTTGAAGCAATGAAGAGAGGAAAACTTTAACCTTTTTGTAAATGTTATCTGGCAGATGTCTTCAGAATTTGAGCCTAGAATTCGTTGAGGCATTGGTTACTTTGATCTCTTTAAACATGCTAAACTCTCCAGTATGTTTTTAGGATAAAAATGCATGAAAAATAGAATTTAGTAAGGCAGTTTCAGTAACAGTTAAACCATCTTCTAGGTGATTATTTGAAAATGTCAAGACTTAAAAAAACCCCGTGACACTGAGAAGAAGAAAACAAGAAATAAATGTGAGTTGGGGATCTTTAGGAAACAGGGCCAAAACTAATCATGTAATACTACTGCAAGGTGGAGATAACTGTAAGGTGTATGAAGAAATCTGGCGTGAAAGTGGAAGACAACCTTGGCGAGAAATCAAAGCTTGCAAGATGTTCAAAACTTTTGAATTGTGAATCAGTAAGCTCAGAAGGAGATACTGGCAGAGGAAATTATTAGATTTTCAGCATATTTATCTTCAAAGAAAGCAGTTAATGAGCTATTAATGCCAAAAAGCTGTAAAAGCTAGCAACAGGTCCTAAGAAATCACCAGGAGCTGACAGATTACACCAAACGTGCTCCTAGGATAAGCTGACAAGCTTTCTGTGAGTCTTGATGCTGAATATTTGCAGTGCAGCAAATCATGGTGCTAGACTAATTGATAGAACTACATGATGAATCTATATACATTGTCACAAAGACACAACAGTAAAAATTCAGAGGGATTTTTAGTGAAGTTGGGAAGCCTATGAAAAGAGCTTGAAAAATGGAGATGGGAACATAAACTTGGCAAGTCTGTTATTGTATGCTGCAAAGTAATGAAATAATGCCACGGGAGTGATACACTCCTATCAAATACTGGAGTGTTCACTTGGTCTTGACCCTGCTTAATTTATGATGTTAAGTACTTTAACCTATTACATATTTATTCCATGAGCTGATAACGGAGAATGTATGAGCTATTACCCCTCTGCAGAGTACCAGACTTGTCTATCAGCCTTTTTCTTTATGCACCACCATGTGAGACAGGGTAAGCGGAAACTTGAGTTTACTCTTGGCAGCGTTTTCCATGGATGCTCTTTAAAAAGCATGCTGGCAGCCCTAGGCAGTATTGTTTGTGGTGGTATCTCACTTGGGAGTAAGAGCAGGAGAGACAGAAAGCTCTTCTCCAGGAGGGATGCTGGAGAGAAGCTGGACCTCTGCTTTTTGCCTAAATCTGCCTTTTTATTTTTCTGTCACATTTTGAATATCATCTCTTCTGGAAGGAGAACGAAGGAGAATCTGTCTGTCTTAATTTTGCAAATGTAGGTAATTGTAAAAAAAGGAGGGAAAAGAAAAACTGTGAGTACAAAATTTTGATGAATAAAAGGATCTGACGTATCTTAATCACCAAGGGAATTACAACAGCAGAAGCACCGTGCAAACCCTTGCTATGCCTGCAATATATAAAACTGCTATCCATTAAGCCGTGAGGATCGTGGATCCATTTGGATTCACTTTCCCTGGGTGGGGCTGGCTGCTGTGTCAGTGCTGCTGGCACGAGTGTCTTCTGCACTTTTGCGTTAGGGTCGTGGTGCTGCTGGGACAGCCCTCGGGCTCGGGGCACGCAGAGCTCCGCACCGCTGAACCCCAGTTCTGGGAGGGTTAGCAAAAGCAGAGTGTGTTCTTCTCTCTTCAACTGAAAACTTTGCTGCTCGTTCAGTTCATTTTATAAATCAGCTGATTCTGAGTTTTATTGGGAAAGGTGATTTGTCTAGAAATTTTATTGACTGGATAGGAGGCATAAAGTTTCTAAGTTTCTCAGTTTCCTACTTAACTTCTATACAGATAATTCAAGGATAGTTTTACCTGGCTCTGGAGAGAAAAATAATAATGCTTAATTTTTTTAAGAAAAATTTTAACTCCTGTTAATTACAATGAGGCTGGAAGTCAAGTCTTGTCGAACACTGATGCTCTGTTAATATTTTTAACTAATACTTGAGATCTTTTGGCATGTCAGATGCTTAATGAAATACTAAATCTAGTGCAGTCATGTTTGCAGTTTATTTTTGAGTGCTTGTTTTCTCGGGTCTGTGCCATTCGGTAAAGGTTTTTGTCTCATCTTTTCTGTTTGTATGCTTTTGGCCAGGGAGGTAAACAAGTCATCCTTCTTCTTGTAATACAGTCTTCCATCTAAAGAAAATGATTTTGATGAATAGATCTAGCCTAGCATTCTAAAAACTGCTCAGAAAAGTGCTGCCTCAGAGGAAAGAGTCCTGTCAACGTAGTGTTTGCCCTGAGAAATTCTGCAGTTATTGATGAGTTATAGCCTAAGTCAGCACAGAAGGGACTGACGTGTTTGATTAAATTTGCAATATCGCGTGCATATGCGAGTGAAAATTTCCCTTGTGTTAGTACTTGCATTGTATGTAAATGATACCGTATCAGGTGATACTGATGAGTTTGTGTAAAAATTGATGAAGGCTTCCACGGTTTAGATAGAAATTGCAGATTTTATTACCTATGATGAATTCCTTGTAAAACTAGATGAAAACTAGGCCACTTAGTGGTCGCCAGCACCTCCTGTAGTAGATTTGTGTTGTCATTGTAGGACCACTGTATGACTATTCCTTTATTACTCAGCTCCAGTGCTCAAAAATTAGACATTTGTCCTTTTCCAAAAGAAGTGGCTGGTGGTGAAGCAGGTGTCTGTGTTGGTGCAGATATCATTAGCTGTGTCTTTAATTGTTGTCAGATGACTGCATGTTTCTGGTGAATGTTGCTATGCGGGCTATCAATCTATCTAGTAAAAAAATTTTCAGCTTAGCCAGAGTATCAGGTATCAGTGATGCAGGTCAATGAGATGAACCTGCTGAAAATGTTCAGGGAAGCTAAGGACATAAAACACCCCTCTGTCTTAAAATGTTTAGCACTGGGAACAGAGAGGGTAGGGGTGCCAGAGTAAGTGGGTGAGAAACTTTGAAGGAGAAAAGGAGAAGAGCAAACAAATCAGAGGGATGTGTTCTGCATGTGAAAGAGAAAAGAGAAATAAGACAAGTGAGCAAAAGAAATAACGGGAATTTGCAGCAGTTGTGTAATGGTGCTATTAATAATACATACCTGATTCATAGAGGTGATTACGATAAATTAAGGTTTGTGCAGTACTTCATATATGTGAAGTACTCTGGAGTACTAAATATTTTTATTACTATTATTATTGCATTTCATTTTTCAGTAGAGCCATTTCAAATTTCCTGTTGTTGTTTGGGCAGAAATGGCCACATTCAGTAGAGAATAATCACCGGGAAACTGCTTTCAAACTTTGTTCATAACACAGTCCAGATCTTAATAGAGGGAGTGACTTGTGACCATTTTTCCTCTAAATATTGACATTGCTTACATTTTTTCCACTTCAGTACTGATTTGCACACAGGGGTCATCTTAGTGAGATGTGGAGACACCTTACAGGCTTTTTGATTACAGGTGTGTTGATCTTTTGGGAAAAAAGCCACCAGTGTTGTACCTTAATTTAATTTCCTTTTCTTTTGTTATCGCTGCTCTGCATGCCCTGATTTCCATTCACTGTGCTGTTTCCCGTGAATTTCAGTGGACCTTCAGTTTTGGATTAAAACCAGAGACCTCCTCTTGTCT